CACATGCATGTACACACATTATATACATGCACACATAAAGCTTTGTTTCATTTTGTTTTTTGGAAGTCAAACTTAATTTTTTTTTTCTTTTTCCTTTTTTGGTCTTTTTGAAACAAGGTCTCCCTGTAGCCCCAGCTGACGTGGAACTCACTATGTAGACCAGGCTGGCCTTGAACTCAGAGATCTGCCTACCTCTGCCTCCTGAGTGCTGGGATTAACAGCCTGTGCCACCACACCCAGCTGGAGGTCAAACTTAATTCTATCCACACTTAAATATAATTGCTTTCAAAATTATTCCCCATCTCTGTCCTTGCTCCATCTGTGTTCACACTCATGTCACTTGCTCTCCAGCCTGCAGACAGGCCTCTCAGAGTCAGGAAAGATGTTCTGATCTGCTCAGCTCCTACTATATCCCAGCTCAAGCTGGACAGGGTGTACTGTGTACTGGGTGTACTGAGCTAAGCAGCTTGAGTCAGTTTCCAGGGTGATTAGTATTCTGACATGGGATGACCAGAATCTCTGACCACACCAGGGTGATATCTGAGGGCCTCTGAAGAGCCTCTTGTCCTGGTGCCTGGCAGCCAGCTCCATGTGACTGTTTAGCTTCTCAACCTAGTTCTACCTGGTGAGTCTGAAATCCAGGGTCATAGGAAGCCAGGTCTCCTGTATGGAATCTACAGGGGCCAGAGGGCATCCTCTTAGTGTAGGACAAGACCAGCTCTATGCCCAGAAGCAGGGATGCTGAGGCATTGGCACATTGCCCCTAGTGACAAGGACTCTAAACAGCTGCTAAACAGGAAGAGAAATGAACACCCTGTCCTCCCTTCCCTCTCTGCCTGCCTTTCCTTCTCTTTGCAACCCATCGCCACCCCACTCCGCCATGGTGCCATAATGAGGGCCCTGCTCCCAGCTGGATAATGGATTTTAACATGAAGCTTTGTGGGGTTTTTCAAAAAAAAAAATCCTAAGGCATCAATCATCACTAGACCATTTTACAGCCAAAAATCCAGTACTGAGGTGAAATAAGCATGGGTTTGTCTCAAAGCTGCCCTCTAAAAAGCCAGATCCACATTTGTTCCTGCCACCAGGACAGATCAAGCCATCCTCATGGGCCAAAGCCATGCTCATTGTGGGCTCCTGGGCACGCACCTTACTATATCCATGAATCTACGTGCCCTTTGCAGACGACGAACTACACCTTCCAAGGTCACAGGTGCCCTCCTGTGGCTCCTGCCACCAGCCAGTTCTCAAGCCCCATGGGTTGGCTGGCAGATCACATACACTGAGTGCCTGCTTCTTGGACATTTTCCCCAGGCTGGTGACACATCAGGCCTTCTCCCCATCCACAGCTCCTCCTTTCTCCTGACTTCCTCTTGGCATAGCCTGCCTGTGGCTTCTCATGTCTGCCCCTTGCAGAGAGTCACAGCATGCTCTGGAACTTACCCTCTGCTGGCAAGGAGGCTTGGCACATGTGGCAGTCCCAGTGCTGACCCCACCATTGCACTCACCTAGCCCCATGTCCACTGATGGCAATTCTGTCTCTGCAGACTGGGGCCACATGTTGTGGTTGCCTTTGACTCTCCTCTTTCACCCAAGCCACACTCCAGGAATCCCTGCACCTGACTGCTTCCCCTCTGCTGCTCACTGCCTTTGTTTACATACCATCATCTCTGCCCAAGACCTGTCTGCTGGATGAGTGTGGGTCAGGATCAGCATACCACAGTGGCATTTCCATCAACAGTGCAAAAAAGGCACTGCGAATCGAGTGGGACTCTAGTTCTTGGGTCAAAGAAACATTAAAGAATACAAGCTGGTCTCTCACTTCCCCTGAGGTCAGCATAGGGAGGATGCTCACTGGATGTGTTTTCTCCAGGGGAAGGCCTCGGGAGTTTTACTTGGAGGAGAGGGGTGGGCAGAAGCACAGTGCTTGGGGAAGGTGGTGTATTAGAAAAATGAAAATACATAAATGAAACAAGAATGTTCTGTGTTAGCTACTTTTCTAGACATTGCTTTGACAACTTCTGGGAGAAAGGATGTACTCAGGCCACAGTTCTGAGGGACTTGCCATGATGGTGGGGAAGCCCTTGTAGCTGGAGGAGCTCTGTCTGTGGTGGGAACTTGCAGTGCTCACCTCTCAAACATGCTGATTGGGAAGCATTGTACAGGCAGTTACAACCCTGAAGACACCTAGGACCTTGCTTCAAAAGCCAGGCCTCCATCCCAAAGGTTCAAGAACCTCTGCACTAGCATCACCAATCGGGACCAAGCTGTTCATATACATTAGCCTGTGGGGACAGTTCAAGCCAGAACCAGAACACTTCCCTACTGAAAGCGTGCAGTTTTCTGAGCTTTAATTGAGAACGCATGACTTATCTCTTGGTTTTCAGACTTACATAATCAATCACCCGGCCTCCTACCCTGCCACACCACCTAAGGCTGCAGGTTCAGAGCTCGATCTAGTCCTCTGAGGGGATGTGGGGAGACAGAAAAGAGGTGGCGGCAGAATCCAGGACCCAAGCTACATCGTGTATAGACACCAAGAACCCTTGTCGTGCCTCCCTCAGCTGTGTCTGGGCCCTGAAGATCGAAGGTTGCCCTCTCTACAGATGGTGTTAAAATCAAGAAGCCACAGAAGAAAGGCTGATAAAATCTGGCCACTTACAAATAAAAAACACAACCAAACCATGTGAATACAAATGACAACCTGAGAAAATACTTGCCACATATAACCAAGAGTTAATTTTCTAACTTTGAAACACTTTATACAAATCAGTAAGAAGGGGGCCACAACAGAAGTGACTTGTGGGGAAGTACAAAAACACTGTACATGGTTAATGGGAGAAATACAAATGAGTTTTAGAGACAAAAAAAATTTAGCACAGCTTTAAGGAATGCGAGTGAGTAAAATTATTTTCCCATATTGTGTTGGGGATTGTGTGGAAAGGCACTCTTGCTGACGGAATCGGGGAGGAGGGAGGACACTGCCTTCTGGAGAACAAATGGTGAAAATCCAAAATTTTGAATGTACATGTCCTAGAAATAGTATGGTACTGGAATTATGTGACAACCCAGAATTCCACTGTAGATATTTACCCCAAAGAACTGAAGGCAGGACCTCTGTGAGGTATCTGTGTTCACAGCAGCACCAGGAGAAACCACCTGTGTTCACAACAGAGGGATGAATGGACAAAATGTGCTATACACATGATAGAATATCATTCAGTTTTAAAAAGGGAAGAGGGCTGGTGAAATGGCTCAGCAGGTGAAAGTTCTTGCTATGCAAGCCTAGCAATCTGAGTTTCACTGCCAGAACATACTTCACAAAGTTGTAAGTGGTGTGCTCGCAGGTGTACACATGTATATACCCCACCCCCCACACACAGAGCATGTGAGGTGACAGATGTGTTAATTAACTACAGTATGGAGAACTGACTCCAGAAAATTGTCCTCTGACCTCCACATGCATATCAAGGCCACTGCTCCCACCCACCCACATCATGCACACACACACTCAAAAATAAAAATAATAATAAATACAAATTTTAAAATAAGTTAAAAAGAAAGACATTCTGACGGGCTACAACACAGAAGATGTTATGCTAAGCCAGGCACATTGAAAAGGACATCTAAGATTCATGTGGGGTCCCTAGACTAGACAGACTCATGGAGACAAAGTCAACTCATACTGCTAGGGGCTTGGGAGAGAGCAAATGGGGTTAGTCCACTGGGAACAGAGGAAGCTGGGGAAAAGGAAAATGTTCAGAAGATGAATGGAGGGATGGCCACAAGTAACTGGAATGCCCTTACTGCACTCAAAATGGCTAAGTAATAAATTCTGTGCTTTGAATACCACTATAAAAACACCCAAGAACTTTAAATTTCTGTTCCCCTGTAACACATACCTGCTTCAGACTCCCCTTCTCCACTTCAGACTGCCTGGTTCGCAGTACTGAGTAGCCCTGGGTGTCCTTAGAAAGGCTAGCACTCGTGCCAATACAGAACACCCAGGGCTGGTTAGTGCAGAACCGTTAGAAGTAGCCAACACTGAAAATGACTCCGTAGAGCCCTAGATAAGTAAGTCAATGAAGGGGGACATGGAGGAAATACACTCATTTATGCTTAAGGCAAACCTCTGATGCCAGGATTCACATGAATTAACTCATCTAATAGTTATTCAGTTTCCAGATGAAGAAAAGCTGACAGGGGAGCAGCTTTTGCCCTAGTGTTTGAGCAGAGGGTGCCCGCAGGATGCTGTCACATCAAACAAGCCATCGACAGAGAAGCAACATAGCATACATGTGCTAAATAAGTCTATTACATGAAAAAATCGAAGTACGCACTGGATGTGTACTATGTGCATACAGTTGACTCTCTACATCCATGGAGTCTATACCCAAGGAGTCAGCCAATTGAAAATTGAAACTATTTGGAAATCACCAGTTGACCTGAACTTGTTACAGACTTTTAAATTTGTCATGCCCTTAAGCAACACAGTGTAACAACTGTTTTCAGGTTATAGTTTATGATTAATTTGGAGATGATTTAGGTCTAAAGGAGGGTTAGGAAATACAGCCCCAGCACTGCGTAAACCAGGCATGGTGGTACACACCTGCACTTCTAGCACTTGAGAAGTGGAGGCAGGAGGATTAGGAGGCCAGGGTCATCCTCAGCTCCATAACAAGCATAGGGAGGATGTGCACAGGTTATCTGGTATGGGATTATGTAAATGCCACACCATCTTTCATACAGACTTGTCTGTGGAAGGCCCTGAACCAGCCATTCCAGGACACAGTGGGATGACTGCCGTGCTATGTTTTGGGTGGGTGTGAGGCAGGGTGTCCATGTGCTTGCTGGACCATGACTGAGAATATCTTTGTTGGGTAGACATAGAAACATCTCATTATAATGATGGGCTGAGAGTAGAGATCAGGTGAGAGGGGAGAGAAAAGTGTTTATAGTTGATATGTTGTTTCTGTTTGCTGCATGTATGATCTATGAAGAAGGAAAAGAAGCAAGGAACGAAGCAAGCAAGTCGTGGTCTCCAATACGCAAAGCTGCTCCTTGATGTTAAACAATGCCGAGAGGACAGGCTGCGCCATCTGTCACTTTAACAAGAGACACCTGCAGTTGTGTTCCCTGTCCTGTGATCAGCACTGTGGGACTTCTAGTGCTTACTCCCAGACTTATGCCCTAGCATTGGAATGCAATCTTCTAAGAAAATAAGGGGTTCTTTGTGCCGGAACCATGTACCCGGACATGTGCCCTGAGGACCTGGGCTTTGTGAGTCTTGCATTTGGAGTCTGTGGTCTGAGATCCCTCTGTCCATCTCTGCCCAATCTCTGCACAATCACTTTCCTGCTCTAAAAAATGGCCTCCCTTCCTCCAGGTGTGCTGAAACCCCCATCTCTGCACCTGTCTCTTCCTGGACATATTAAAATGCAAAGCTATGATTCCTTTCCATTAAATTACCTTTTCCTCTACAACTCAACACAAACACCTCGTTCCTATCCCCCTAGCGAACACTAGGATTGAGTCCCACATGACCTTCATACCCGTCGCTACCCAATACCTCAGTGCCAGTCTAGAAGTGAGGAGCAAGGTGAAGTGCTGTTAGCCCCAGATGGCTTCGTTCCTTCCTGCCTTTCAAACCCTGCCAAGTCCAACTCAGTTTACAGACTACACCTAACCTTCCAGAGTGTTCTGTCAGACCTTGGGCAACCGGTGGGGGGGGGAGACTACCAGTGTGGAAAAGAACTTTTTGGAGCTCCAGATTCTTGGTACTATAGTTAGGACCTGACCAGAGGTGGCTGTAGCATCTTCCCCTGCCATCTCACAGGCAGGGCAGCTCCTGGGCTCTCAGACAGCAGCAGGCAGGCCCCAAAAAGGGCTTAAAAAAAAAAAAATGACAGGTGGGAGGAACACAAAGAAGGCTCAAGAAAGTGGAAGCCACAAGCACATACTCACTTGATTTTGGGTCCACATCAAGCTGAGTTTTCTGGGCATGCAGTTACAGTGCTGTAGTGTGACCAAGCAGAACACATGGGTCTGGGGTGTTATCTCCCTGGTGGGTACCCTGCCAGGAATGACATGCAATGGATAGTCTCCACCTGGGCCACCCAGCTGTCCTGGCTGACCCCCATTCCTGCCAATGACTAGGTAAAGTGGCTAAGCAGCCTGAAGACACTGGGTGGGCTCAGGACTCATGGGAGAGGACTGTCTCTGACATTCTCGCCTTGGCACCCATCCTCGTTAAGTCTTTGAAGCCTGAACACTGATGCATCTCACATGACACTGCAACACCTGGTTTGTTTTTAGAGCTGTCTGGAGAATGGCTTTACTGCCATTTCATCACTTGGCTGTATATCCCCCAACCCAAGCTTGTACATACCCTGACAGGCACTGAGTCTCCTTGAGAACAAGGGGCATGGAGCTCCCTCCCCACCTCAGACTTCAAGAAGGGGCATTGCATGGCCTCAGGTGGGTACTGGCACCAAGGCTGAGGTTCTCAGCAGCTTGTACTGCTCTGGGAAACTTTTGGCAGCCTCTTTCCACTCCCAGGCTTAAGGCTGGCTGCCTTTTTACACTGTCTGGTCATCCGACTGGAACAGAAACGCCTTTCGGTCGATCAGTCCCCCAGACAGCACCAAAGGGTGGGAAAAGATCCATAAAATGTTGCCCTTGAATACTCCAGACTGTCTCTCCTCCTCCCACCTTGTAAACCTGGACAGCCTGGCCAGGAGGCATAGGTTACTGTGGTTAGGGCTGAGGAGTTCATGCCCCTCCCTGAGACTGCTCTCTGGGACCTTCCCTGGGAGTCCAGGCAGCCATCAGCAGCCCAGCTCTGAGCCCTTGTTAGGCTAGGGTGGTGCACGAGCTCTCCTGACTTGGATTTTACAACCACCTTGATGACTCTTTTGAGGTACAGAGGGTTCCCAAGGTGGCCCAGACTGAAATGTCACAGGGAGGGAGTGTTCTAAGGACCAGCTAACCACCCAGCTGCTGCAGGCACTTGTCAAGGGCAGCATGCCTGTACCCTGAGAACGGGTGTGGCAGCTCAGCCACACAAGAGTGGGCCAGCGAAGACCACAGGTCCAGGAATCGGAGGTTCTGCTTGGGAGATGTGGCTGGCACAGGCTGTGCTCCTTTCCTCTCGGGGTCTGCTTGGTGGGTGAGCAGATCCTTGCCTACATTCCAGCAAGGCCCCTACCTTCTGCCAGGCTGGTGCCATTCCTCTACTGGCTGGCTCCGTCTAGCAAGGCCAGCTGTGGCAAAGGTGAGACCTATGGAGAGCAGAGGTCCTGGGCACAGCCTCTCCCCTGCTGCCTGGCCACTCACTGTCCTTGTTTTGTTGAACCTTGATCAGGAGAAAAAGTTGACAAGTACCCAGTACTTGTCTGAAATGGACCCTGCAGAACCATTTCATTTTGGAGGGATGACTTAAGTTTAGGGACACCTGCTACTTCTGGTTCCAACACTGGGGGCATTCTGTAACATCTCTGTACCCCAAGCAAGATGTCTTATAAGGTGTAGATTACTTCAATCTTTTGATGTGAAATTACATTAAAAATAAATGTTTTTCAAATCCTCTAATCCCACAGGAGCGTTGGAGCTGGAGAAGTCAGCCTTCTCTTAGATTCTTTCCAACCCCACCCTTTACTTCCTGCCTGGGTCCACCCAGAATTCCCAGTGCTTCTCCTTTGGCTGTTGTCCAAAGCCTCACAGCCAGGGTGGTGGAAACCACCACCGACCATGGGCTCTCAGAGCAGACGGCTCCTGCTCCTTCCAGGGGCTCAGCCTCTCCACAAGCCAGGTGTGGTGGGGGCAATGGTTGCCTTTCTAGACCAGGTTTGGGATGTGTATAGAGGGACAGCATCCTCCCCACGTGGAGGACTCTGGTCCAGGGGAAGACATTAGAGGGCCCAACTTCCTTGCCTTCCCACAGACCTGGCTGCCTGGGCTGAGCAGAGACCGGTCCTGCCACTGTTTACAGGTTATCAAGGCCTGTTCTAATCCGTCGGATGCATCAGCACAGGACAACAGTTTAGCCGGGCAGCCAGGTCAGGGGTAGGAGGAACAGTCCATTTCTAGTGGTCTCAGGTGGGCCAGGCTGGTTCAACCTGGCCCCTTGTTCTAGGGAACAGGGGCTTGGCAATCAACCGACTAACTTGCTTAAACGACATGACTGCCTCTTCTCACTCTTCTAACAAACCTAGTAAAGCTGGCTGGAGTTAAAACACTAACTGCTCTTTGCCTCAGGGCAGCTCAGTGACAGATGGCACCACCAAGCTGCTGGTGGGCTGCAAGCCTGGGCAGGACGCTGGCATGTGTCCACAGCCCTCAGAGCCCCACCCAGCCTTGGCATGATCACAGGACTCCTCCCACTCATCTCTACATAAATGTCTAGTGAATTGCTGTCTCCATGGGGCATGGGGGTACCGATTACCTGACTACTAAAGGTGGAAGTATTGGGTGAAAGGCAAAGGCAGCCAGTGTTTTTGTTGTTCTACCCAGACCCTGTAGCAATAGCCTTATGGGGACCCTGTCCCCAACCCCTCTGTCCAGTGTAGGCATCACCCTGTTACAGTGGTTTGTTCCAATCAGGCAATGCCTTACTTAGCTTGGGGGTGAGTGGCTAGCATCCTCACCATGAACCTATGTGACACAGGAGGGCCTGTGTGTCAAGCCTGAGGTAAGAGAGAAAGGCCATGAGTGCCTCCAGAATGGTCGAGGTAAGGTCATCGAACTAGTGCTGCCAAGGCACTATGCCTGACCCCCAAGTACATGGTCTGTCTCTCTTCTACAATGATTATGTAGCACTTAAGTTCAGATTCCAAGCTGTCTAAAGCAGGCTTATCCTTACATCAAAGTGGATTGAGGTGAGGGTTCCCACAAAGGGGTTCCAAGTCCCAGGGACAGGGTATTCCTGGACACAGGCATCTGCAGACCTGCCCTGAGCTATATTGTGGCATACAGGGAGCACTAACCAAAAGATCCAGTCCATATCCTGCCCATGAATTCAGTCTATACCTGACCTATAGGTGCCTGGGGTCTGGACCTCACAGATTCTACCTACATGGCAGCTCATCCATCACCAGGACTGTGTCCTCCAGAGAAACTCCTCCCTGTGAAGGTGTCAAGCTGCCAGACACCCTGGGCATTCTCACTCACAGCCTGCTGCATTCTACTTGACCAGAGGTTAACAATGTATTGGTGCTCCAGTTATTGTGAAGGCGAGTCATGTGAAAAAGGGCAGTGCTAGGCTCATCTCTTACCAACTTGCACCATTCTTGACTCCCGAGGCCTCAGCCAGCCCTGGCCCCTGGCTCTTTAGCGGGCAGGTGAGAAAGGTCCATTCCCCGAGTCCGTTGACCCTCTTGGTTGAGTTATGCGTGGCAGGGACTTCTGCCAGGCTTGGTAGCTAGTCTGTTCTGCTTCCGGCCAGACATGGCAGAGGCTAGCTCTACCAGAGGTCTTCCACCCAAGCTGTAAAACAGACATCCAGTTCCAAAAAGCCTCCACTGACTCGAAGCCCATTGGCGACAGCTCAAGCAAGACACAAGACTCGGTGACCCATGGGAACAAGGAGATTAGCAGCCTGGGCAAAATCCTGCCTACTCAGCAAAGCTTGAATTTGCTTTGGTAGTTCCTAAAGAACTCAAAGAACAAAGCCAGAGCAAATCAGTGAGCCAGTGGTCACCAGTTCAGGGGGGTGGGTGGGAGGTGCTGTCCATCTGCAGGAGCCTTGGAGGGTGTGTGGTCCCGTTCCACCTCTAAGGGAGCTCAAAGCACTCTGGGGAACCAGGGAGCACCACTTAGTCATTTCAAGTCCTCATGGAAAGCAGTGTGAATATTGATTCAAATTTAACAATGTTTGATTCTTCTACTGTTCTGGTATATAACACAAAAAAATCTGAAAATCCTCAGAACTTTCTGCAATGACAGCTTCTGGTTCAACAAAGGCTCTGAAAGCCCAGGGCTCCTTGCCAACTCGTCTCTTGCAGGTGGTCCCAGAGCCTCCCTTACATCAGCAGGTCCAAGATGCAAAGCCCCGCCAGGCAGCAGACATGTTCTTTCTGGTTCCTTCTAACATGGCTAACCTCATCCACACACATGTGACTGAACACAGGCAGTCTCCAGCCATCCCTGGACAGAAACTGGAAGCTTGCTTAGCAGCTTGTTGTTAAACTTCAACATTTGTAGGAAAGAAAAATGGCCTCACCAGATATTCTCTGGTGCCAGACTGGCAGAGATTCCACACTCAGGGAGAGCAGGCCCCCCTCCCAACAACTTTTACTTTCACCCTTCTCAGAATCCACAGTACCTGGAAGTCTACTAAAACACTAGAGAAGTAGGAAAGGAGATGGAGTGTGGAGAGCGCCCTGTTCTGACACAGGCTTTTCCTTATTTTTGAGCAGTATCAAATTCAGAAGGAAACAAGAATACAATCAAACCCCTTACATTTTATTAATATACCTTCTCCTGCATTTCTACCCCCAAAATTTAAATTCTGGAAAATGCTATAGACTGAGCATATCAAAAGTACTCTGCAGAATCCTTGGGGAATCAGTCACAGGACGTTTCATGTGATGCTCTGTGCATGGCGGTGGGTGTCTGGAATAACAGGCACCCCGTGCAGCCAGGCTTACAGCATGCTGTGGGTATCTTCATTGTTTCTATGGAAGAATGCCTTAAAATCATAGTTCAATTCCAATGCAGACTCAGTATCTCCAGGATTGGAGACAAAAGCAGTCAGGCAGCTAACAGGTGCGACACTGTTTATGGGGCTCTGCTTTTTCATACTCCAAGGGGAAGCCAGCCTCTGGAAACCAGAAGCCAAGATGCGCCCCAGTCAACAACCCAGTGAGCAAGAGCACTGCTATGGGCTGATGGCTTTAGCAGCCACACAATCCTTCCTTTGATGTCCGGGTCAGTGCAGTCCTGGTCCCAGCAGGGTTTGGAGGAGGCGTATGAAAGAGAATCTCCCTGTGAACTGTCCTGCAAAAGAAACAGCAATAAAATTTATGACCCAGTCACCACGAGGAATTCCTATAAGGAGTACCCTCTGGGCCTCTGCTCTCCACTAGAGAGGACTTTCATTGGAAGACAAGGGCAAGATCTGAGCCACACTTCACAATCCCAAACCTGGGGTGTACAGTCAAACCACATGCCACTCATTCAGCTCACACAGGGCTTCCCTGACAAGACACATACTAGGAAGAGACCCTTTCATGTACTTGAACTGCTTCAGGAAGGTTCAACTCCAGCAGAGGGGAGAAGTGGGCACTAATCGCATCTGCTTTCAGAGCAGGAATTCAATCTTTCTGCAGTTAGCTTTGTAATTCTACAAATCCCCACCAAAGGAGCACATACAGAGGACACTGACGCTGTTGGAACCTGGGCCGCACACTCAGGCCTGTCTTCTCCTCCTCCGGGAGGCCTGCCTCTTGTGAGCATCAGGCACTTACAGATGGGAAGGCTTTTTGCTCAAGGGCTCCACTCCTGTTCCTGCTGAACTGAGCCAGTGTGTGAAACGAGAACTGATATCAGCTCAGTAGGCACCGGAGGGCGGGTCCAATCAACAGCCCGGGCACGCCTCACTGGGAGCTCCTTCAGCATCGTCTTGCTGGTGACTGTGGACACATGGAGATGTGGTCTGCAAATATAAGAGAGAGTTCACGGCGCCCTGGCAGGGACTACAGAATCCCCTCATATGTGACAATCAGTTGATGCACCTGCCTTTAGCTTTCTGCAACTTTTAATGTATCTGACCTTACAGACAGTGCTCCACTTAGTTGATTTTTATTTTGTAGACAAATTTAAGGGTGGTAGGTGCACCCTTGGATCGGTTGATCTCTCCTCTGGAATCAGGCTCCACACCAAGCTGACCACTAGCCGTGGCCACACTTAACTGTCCCCATCTCACCTTCTCTTCAGGTGCAGAACTTAGCCACTGTGAACAAAGCGGAAATCAATCACTGTTCACCAATCAGCTAAGCTCTGCACCTTGTTAGAGAGGTCATCGCTGGCCATAATTAAAGGGCTGTTGAGCATCTTCAAAGTCGTTGGCTTCTTTTGTTTCCAAAGAACTACAAGATGCATCAGTTCTCCAAACTGCAGAAAGAAAGTAACTATGGTTTCTGGAGGAGCAGCCAAGGTCATGGTTGCGTGGTAATCCCTGGCAATGTGATTTTAATCTGAAGTCACAAATCAGCATGCCAGGAACCCAAGCAGCCAGAGCAGTTGAGGGCAGCGCCATGCCCTGCCACTCCCATCCACGGGACTGGGTATCCACACAGCACCGGTACCACCTCGGGGCCCGCTATGCCAGCAGACATGGTGCTGATGTTGGCCATTCAGCTGGTGTTCCAGAGCTTCACTCTATACATCAAGAAGACTCAGAGGAAACCACAAAGGTGCCGGAGAAGCCTTGGAACAGGAGATCGAAGGATGTGTTCATCAGCCACATGACAAACAAATGAGGAGGCTGTCCTTGTTCTGAGTACATTGCCTTTAACCCCTGGAGACACAGCATGTTCTCAACCTTGGATTCTGAACTGCCTGATATGGGTTCTGATATGGGATGTGACACGAGTGGGGCAGCACTCAATCCCATTCACCACAGGTAGTTAGTTGGTTGCTGTGACCCAGGTCAGCTAGAGGGACGGGGACAAGCAGGAAGAGTTCAGAGGACAGCTAGGAAGTGGTGGATTGGCAACAACTCTTTTGCAAGCTTAGAGGCAAAAAACCACAGTGAAGAGTCACCAGAGCCATACATGTGACTCTCTGTGGTTCTCAAAAAATGGAAGCACACCCAAGAGTGGCTGGCTGCCTTGTGGTTTTTAACAGCACCTAACAACTCTCCTGAGATTAGAGGTCTCCAGTAACATCAAGCATACTGACTCCTGCAGGAGGCCAGGGGGCAGGGACAGGTGGTGGAGAGCTGCCCCAACTGTTTCTATTACACAGGCCGCCTTCGCCGCCTGGGGTGCGTGCACTCAGTGGCCTCGCTGTGGGCTGTACAGTCACTCACTGACTTCCACTATCTCCTCTGCCTGGCCAATGTGGTCCAGTGCTTTTCTGAAAGAGTATGATCGTACTTCAGAAAAACCTGTTTCCCCCTCAGAATTACAGTTCTTTCAGATAAACAAGACAAACATATTACACAGAAATGGGTTTCATAAAAGCAAATGTGAGAATGTAAACTTAATATCCAACAATGGGAAGCTTATCAACACAAAATTTAAATATTCATTAATTTGTGATTATAGAAGTACATGGAAAAATGAGATTTGATGCAAAATTTTAAAAAATACAAAATTAGACATTATATCATGTACGGCCATGAAGAAAAGCTAAGACACAGAAATGATGATTTATGATTGTTGGAAAAGCACACAATAATCTCACAGTTCTAATTATAAAACTTAATGTTCCATTGCTGAACTACTTTATAAGCATAGAAATACATGTTAAAAACTGGCGACTAGGAGCAAACTAAAAGGTCAGTTCTAGGCTGGAGGCTCAAAGGAGGCAATTTAGACAGGCCAGGCCAGTCTGCAAGCCAGGGGAATCCTGCTCCAGGACAAAGTTGAAAGTGACACCTGCTGTCAGCACACAGTGATACTGTACATGCGTGTGGGCTATGAAGGCACGGGAAGACCTGGTGCCCACCTCACAGCTCAGGAGGAGACAGGCCTAGGAGTCTCAGGTTTATACAGGGCCTAGGAGAAAGGCCTGCATGTAGAAGCTAGGAGCCAGAATAGCATGACCATGGCCCCCCGTATTGACCTTGATCCTGAAACCTGTGGATGTGTGCAAAACCCAGTGTGGCCAAAGCAGTACCAGAAAGGGCCCCTGTGCCTTCAGGCAGACATCTTTGCTTCCTACCAATGGCTCCAGAAGATGAGGTGCTCCAGGGATCCCAAGCCCTCCCATCCCAGGGGCACCCACCCTGCTCACTCTCCAAGGCCACCTTGTATCCCTAAGTGGAGGCATATCACTTGGCTTCCCGACTGTCTTGGGTCGCTAAGAGGAGAAAGGAAAGACAATTACCTCTTTAAAATAGCATTTCAGCTACCACCTGGGCGGAGGCTCTGTCCATCTGCTCCTTCACCAGCGCAAAGCACCTGTGCGCAAGCTGCCGCTGCCGGGCATCCTCGCTCACCATCAGCTCCCCGTACAGGTACACACCCATGGCCTGCAGGGCACAGAGGCCAGAGAAGGAGGAAGAGGGGTGAATGTGTATGTGTGTAGGGACATAGTCTGCACTGATTTCACATGAGCTGGCCTAAAAAAACAAAGACAAACGAGAGAAAAGACAAACTGCCAGGCAGGTGACCAACTGCAGCCTATGGTTTCCACCTACCCACCTCTTCTTTGTCCTCATCCGCACCCCATGGAACTCTCTTTGTTTTTGGTCTTTTTGAGACAGAGTCTCTCTCTGTAGCGACAGCTGGCCTGGAACTCGCTATGTGGAGTAGGTTGGCCTTGATCTCACAGAAAGCAGCCTGCCTCTGTCTCTCAAGTGCTGGGATTAAAGGTGTGCACCACCACACCTCTTAACTATGGATTCTGTCACCTTAGCCTTAGTGACAAGGGAGCATTTCCACAGTGACCACTCTGTCGGGAATACTCTGAACAGACAGAACTCCTGTAATGTCCACCACGGAGAGCCTGGTGTCAATTACAAAGACAGAAGACACCCCCACCCCTAACAGTAAAGTATGGCCCAAAAAGTAGTTGGCATGAGCTCGCTCACCAAATTCATTGCCTACCCAGCCACAAAGACATCACCCAGTAGTGCAGGCAGGACAGATGCCATCACTCTGGCCCAGCCTGACTGTTTTCCCTCCAGTAGCCCCAAAGCAGTGGACACTGGCTTTTCTGTTTTGAAAACAATGCCACAAAGGCTCCCAATATGCAGTGCTCTGAGATTTTAAGACAGCTCATGCAATCTGCAGGACTGAAGGACGCCACTGCGCTCTGCAGGATAACCTGGACCCCCTTTGTTCTCTCTGATTTTGTTGTTCCATGGAGCATTCTGGGGTCACATTCTGCCAGAGCAAACTCAAAGAATTTCAAGGATAGCACAAGACAAAAACTCAGTAGTCTGGCTTCAAAAGTGCTTTCCTGAAAAAGCTGGGCATGGAGCTCCCTGCACAGTGGAGCAAGGCTGTAACCCACTGGGCTGCTCTTACATCCCACCCTTGAGCTCCCGTCTGCTCTTCCCAGCACCTCTTGCTCTACTGTGCAAATGTGACATTTCTGCTGCTACAAAGTCATGTTCTTTTCTTTATGGGAATAACCAACCCTCACTTGCTGCCTGAGACCCTGTCAAAAGTTCTTTTGTCCACCACACCCCCGCTCTCCACCCCACTCAAAGTGGCCCTATCCCATTAGCCCACAGCCTTGGCACACAGACTGGACAGAGATACAGGCTGGGGTACAGAGTGAGAGAAGGCATGTGGCGTAAGGGGGCCGTAAGAGGAGAGGACATATGGCAGGGGTGGGGTACAGCATGTCAGAAGAGGTTCCCTGATGAGCAACCCCAATGTGAGACCAGAGATGAGGCTAGTGCCCAATACACACACACACACACACACACACACACACACACACACACACACACACGATTCAAGGCAGGTCATCACTTCCTAGGAAGATGTCAAAGGAAGGAAATAGCACAGTGTTGGGCCTGGTGTGGCAAAGGCATGGATTCAATCCAAACAGGTCCATCCAAGGGTCTCCCAGGTAACCGACATAGATGTGTGCCATTAGAGTCACTGGAAGCCCGAAGGGACACCAAGGTGTTGCTAAGCCATGGTCGGGGACTGAGAGTTCCGGAGCAAGCTGGTCCACGGTGGTATGAGGCGACAGGAATTTTTGTGGTATGTCATTCTCTATGTGAAAGATACACTGCAGGGAAATCAGCTCAAAACTGCAAGGCACACCTCAGATGCTAACTAGTCCTTCAAATTTGGGAACTCTTTTTGGTATGTGTTCTGACAGAGATGTGGAGGATCTGGGAGCTGTGAAGGTAGCCAACAGGGAAAGGGAAGACTCACCTGATCCTCCTGAAGGAACCTCTCCACGTGTGCGTATGCTTTTACGTGCTTGTGCTTAACAATGAGCTCACACCACCGATGGCGAACCTTAGAAAGGAGATGGGAAACCTGGTAAGCATCAGAGTGGCAGGCAGAGACCAGGTCAGAATATTGCAATTACTCTGAAGCACCAGCACTGAACACTTTCAGCTGGACAGTGCATTTTAATTCAGCTTCTTCCTAAAAGCAAAGACCGACATTCCTAATCACAAGAACTGTCCGACAACAGGAGAAACTGCCTGGAGTTTCACATAGCTGTTTCACTGTGCTACATCAGCTATGAAAGGTAACAGGTAAACACAAACACATACAGGAGTGGAAGGTCACCTATGCACCTAGGAGCAGGCTGCTGCTGTACCTCCCATGCCCACTGCCCACAGAGGTACCCTTCAGTCACAGACTTCCTGTAAGTCTGCCGGGTGCTGCCAGTTGTAACAATTAGAACACAGCACAGAGGAAGATGCTGCTCTCTGAATTCCTACCAAGCCAGGGCACCCTGGACCTGGCAGCCCCTACTGCGAGCCTACCCACATGCACCACGCACAACGTGGTGAAAATGGACATATTCTTTTCAAAGACACTTCACTAAAAGTTTACCTGCTGGAATCTGCCAGGTCCCCCTGTCCTCCTCTTACAAACTCAAGAGACAATAGTTCATAAGTGTGATTCTAGCACCCACTGCCTTTGAGATGGCGGCAGACCCACCAGGGTGAGGGCCATCTCCGTGTTAAAGCACATTAAACAAAACCAGAAACAAACCCAGAAGCTTTACCTGTGCATTTCAGACTCCAGTGCCACACCTGTTGTCTGCAAGCTCTCTGAGCTATACCCAGAGAGCAGCCCACCACTGAACATTCCTTACTACTTCAATACCAGGCTTCTGTGGAAGTGATGTGTGCGTTCAAAGCCTCCTAGGTCATTGCTTGCTTTTATGGCTCCAAGTGATTGTTTTTGGACAATAATAAAATGCAAGCAATGCCAACATTCTGGCTAGACCCCCTGCAAATCTCATCAGGCTGCAGTAGCCTGGGTACAGTCTTCCTCTATGCTACCTACCACACATGCCCGCTATACACAGATTTCCATGTAGATAAGGAGGAAACAATCCTTCCTTCTCCCAGGCTCAAGTGTTAGCTTGGGAATTCTACCTACAGACCTGCTCTGCTTTCTACTGACACTGCTGCCCTACCATCCTCAAAGGCAGGGTGACTGGGAGTGCTGGTGTGCCCTGAAGGGGTTTGGGCGGGAAATGCGCAACAGCCTTGGAACAGCACAGCAAAGGGGGAGCAAGTTGGGGGTATGAAATCTATCTTCAGCAAAGCATCTTTTCCTCTACAGCACACAGAAATAAGCAATGGGCCTTGGAAGGGAAGGAGGAGCCCCTAGCATCATGAGAGGAAAGGGTGGGTGGAAAGAGCCCCCAATGAATCAGCTCATCCCAACACTTCAACCAGAAGAAGCCACCAGGACTCTTGGCATCTGGTCCAGAACTATGATTCCACAACCTAAGGTACAGAGCAGCAGGGGACCTAGACAGCCCTGGGATGTCTCCTTTTTCCTCCTGGCCATATTTTACACCATGCCCATGCCCTGGCAGTAGCATCTCTTTCTTGTTCATGAGCTTTGAAAATGAGCACAAGCCAGAAGAGATGGGTATGGCATGGACATGGACAAGAGGGACAGTCACAGACCTGGGATCAATGCTCTGCTGCCTGATCTGGACACAGGGAAA